CTGAAAGCAAGTCAACTTGCACTAAAAGTGCTTTGAAACAATTTCATATAATGATTCCACGCAACCGTTTCATGCTTTGAAAATCTTCAATCTTTGAAAGCTAAAATAATGATAAATAAACTTAATACTAAAAGATACTACTTTGTGGTAAACCACAGCGGGAATAAAAGAAAAATTAACAGAAAGAATACGTGCTCTGAAAAAAGCCTTGACCCCCCCGCCCCGCCAATAACTAAGACTAAGCACCACATACAAGGTCACATTTAAAGTGCTGATTTTTGCTCAATCTTTCCGTATTTCTCAGGATTATTAGGAATTTTTTTCCTGAAGGCTTATTTAATTGCTCTAACACCTGGAAGAAAAACCTGTTTAGAGCATTAAGCTTTTTTTTAAGTATATGACTCTAAATGCATTACAGGATCATCTGCAATACACTTAGGATGCACCTACAGAGAGACCTCAGGCTGATCTGTTACCAGCATGACTTAACACCCTGCTAGGGTTGTTTTTTTTTTTTTGTCATACAGAAGTATGAGAGTAATTTAAAATAATTTATAGGTGGAAGGACAGACAAATCAGGTATGTGTCAATTAATACTATGCTCTTAGGTTTTGGGAACTCCATAGTTTTTCTATTTCGCACAAGCTCATCAGTAGGTCTGGGCATTTATGTCCTTAGTCCATTTATCTAAAAACAGAGAACAGTTAGCCTATTGCCTCCTGAATTGCACAGTTTTCAAACAACCTCTAGTACAATTAAGTGGCACTATCATACAACCAGATAATTAGCCAAGAGGTCAGCAAGAAGGCTCTCCAGAGCAAGAACAGTGATAATATCTAGAAAAAAGAGAAACATCTCTTTCAGCACTTGCATTATCAGTTTTCAGGAAGTAAAAGGTTTGTACTAAAAAGTGACAAAGCAAAATGGAGGGAAAAAAAAAATCAAAGGATGAGAAAGAGGTGGATGGCAAGTCCCAAAGGTTTGCATTAGGCTTGAGAGGCTTATCTTCCTGTGCTCCCTCCAGCCAAAGAACAGGAAAAAAAGCTCTGTTCCTAACTCTCTCCTAGGTGAAGCTTTCCCACAGCATTTATGAAATCCTCCCAGAAGTGTTTACCAGAACAATTTACAAGAACAGAAATGAAGTATGGGGAAATCAAGAAGAGGTCAACTTCTCTGTTGAGACTGAAAATAAACACAGAATTTCAAACAGTATCTATTAAAGGGGAAAAAAAAAAAAGACTGAGGAAAAACTAAGGTCAGATTTTAGAGGTATTTAACATCTTGCCACAGAAATGAGAAGTGCAGCCTCTCCTGCCTGAGGGGTCCTGGGGGTGTTCCAACTCATAATCAAAGCAAATGTGGTAATGAGTTGGTAAAAAGACTGCATTATGGCTCTGATTCCTGTGAGCTTTTACACCTTACTGTCCTGTTACCACAGACAGGTTGATGGGAGGAAGCAACAGACCCCAACATGGCTAATGCCTCCAGAGTTGTCAGCTGAAAGTTTAGCTCTTCAACAATTAACATTATGTTGCGTACTCCAACTAGACGAGGCCACAACTCTCTTCTCTGAGTACGTGCTGAATTACTTCCCATGAGTGCTAAGCTTCTGCAAAAACAAGTTCAGCAACAGCAACTATGCATTCCATGCTGCTGACACATTTCCGTGTAAGAATGTCTACCGTATACTCCTCTGCACCCACACAGTGCCGTGGAAAGAAGCAGCATGGAAACCCACTCCCCGCAACCCGATGACACAGTGCAAACTAGTAGGTGACCTGCAATAGGATCCACAAAACAACGAACATACCACTGTGCACCTAAGCTTTCCACTTGTTTGGCTTTTAAAGACAGACCACTTAACAGAGGGAGTCCTAGGTCTGATGGTAACACTGGTCTAAGTTAGCTTTGCCATTGATGGCAACACTAGGAATAAGACAACCAAATCTGTTTTCACAATTTTAGGGCACAGAAGGGGCTGAAAAAAAGCTGCTTTGAAATGAACTTTAGGTTGTGAGCTAAAAAACCTTGATATATACAAGCATAAGCACAATGGATTTCCAAATTGGTTTTTTTGTGTTTTTTTTTTCTAAATAAAGCAAAAATATTTTAAAGTGTTCATATTTAAAAAATGCAAAAATCAGAACAGACAAGTACAAAAAGCTAGAATTTTGGGAAATATAAGCAGCTTTCTTTTTGTGCAGAAGATGAAAAGCCAGTAGAACAACAAAACACGGATGCAAACAAGAAAAACATCAAATGTTATTTTCAAAGGACAAATTGTAATCTTAAAGCATCTCCTCAAAAATTCTCAAGATAAATAATGGACTTTTATTGTTCATTTACTGCAAGGTTAGGCAGCCTGATATGATGGATGAACTGTCAACCCCCAACTAAACTTCTACAATCCATCACAGAAAGAATGGAAATTTCACTCAAAGTGTCAATAAACCTAAATGATGAAGTGCAAAATACTTTACAGAGTTCTGATCATTTTTTAGAACCTGCATTCTCTGCAAAATTTCAGAAACACCACTCTTCTCCCACTTCCCTCCCCTTCTCCCTGGAAGTCATAAAATGCAGGTGTACATTTTGATTTATAAGACAATGATACCATAGAATCATAGAACAGAAATGAAGTTTTCATAATGGTCTAGTGCTAGGGAAAACGATCTTTACAAAATAAGCTATTTTACCCAAACATCAAAAAGATCACCAAGATTTTGTAAAGATTTCTTTTTAACTAATCAGTTATTCAAAAGTGGCCACATTAAGGAAATTAACGCATGGCTGCACTGGAGCTTGGTCTGAAATCAAAGCTGACCCTGCCCTGAGGCAACTAGAATTATTCTATGATTCTATGACACCTAGAAACAGAAGATTTTTTTTTGTGAATGCACAATAAAATACATAGATTTCCATTTAATAAAAACCAAGAGGTTACACTATCTTTACTTGGTGATAACTGACAAATAATTATGAAATATTTGTACATAGCTACTAACTCACACTAATAGCAATACTTTAAATTATATACATGGGAAAACTTCACTTTATAACACCAACAAATTCTTACGCATCTTGTTTTACAGCAAAAGTGGTGGCAAAAGCATCAGCATGAACTAACACACAGACCCATCCAAAACCAGGTATTACGTTGCTTGACATAAATATCCAAGATTTTGTTATCAGCTTAAACGTTTACGTTATACAGCAACGTATTCTTTGTGTCCTTATCAGAGGAAGCCTACATCTCTTCTTCATATACACGTGCGAAAGCCAAATAAACCAGTTGTAGCAGACTTATCACAGTATATTAAAAATTAGCTACCAATTACCCCTTTGGACTTGATTCTGTGATGTGCCGTGACTTAAAGCTAAGCATGAAACTCCTAGCAGAAGTATCACAATACACTAGACTACAAAAATCTTAGTTTTTACTACAGATCTCAGAGCCTAATACAAACTTTTGTCAAATTTGATGACGATATTTTCATCAACTGGTAGAAAGCATTTGTAATTGATGTTGAATGTAAAAGCATATTACTGCAATCATAAAATCTGTAAGAGTTAGGTCATCCTGCCTTTGCTTATCATTTAGTGTTTAAAATCTCAATGCATTACTTTAATCTAAGCCACCACCAGACTTTCTCATCTGTACCTCATCTTTATCCCAACTGCTCTGCCTAATGATAACACTACAAAAATCCTTCTATTTGATTCTCTTCTCCCCTATTCCAACGAAGAAAGCAAGCTGTGCATCATAACTAAATCAAATCAAAAAGGTATCCTCACATAGGTACCAATCTAAACACTTCTAAATATTCATGTTGGAATACCTAATTTGTTTTAGCTTTAAATACATTCATAACATCTTTTTTTCAGAAGTCACTCACACCCTTACATGAGGTATGTTAAATAAAAATATTTAGGTATCTTCCTTGACTTATACTTCAAAAATGGACCACAAAACATAAATTGCACGGGCCCTTACAGAAAAAAAATAGGGGACATTTTTCATTAATCCAAAAATCAGTGTTTCTCTCTGTTTTCTCATAACTACCAGATACTGAATGACCAAGAAAAAAGCCACAAAATGAATGTGCATTTATGTAAATCCATACGGAACAATGTAGGCACAACTTCAAAGAAGTGTTTGAAAGAAGCCCTAGCACTGAGTTTTCATTTAATTCTAAAGATCAGACTGACAACTTTTTTTTCCCGTTTTTCTTTCTTTTGATATTGACTAGCGTTTGGTAGACAAATAATACTCAATTGAATGAGATCACAGACTCAGATTTGCTGGAAATTCTTCACTCAATTTAACACAGCATAGTCTGTAATACTAAGACGAATAAGCTTCTGTTTGCTGTAATTAGAACTCCCCTCCAATCAAATTCCACAGCCTTTCGAGAATTAGTGTTCTTTTGGACATAAGTCGTATTAACTTACGTAAAAATACTAACTTGCATACAATAAATAAAACAGATGCAGTAAAAACAGCATTAGAATCTGAATCTGATAACCAGGGTATTTGTTCCCCCTCAGTCTTCACACATAAAGTTCATCAACTTCCCTGTTTGAGAAACTGTGTTTGCCATATGAGCTGCTACGTGTTTATGACATGAGCTATAGTCTACCTTTCCCATATCTATTTTGTTTTTCATTCTTTTTACTAAACTCAAAAAGACTACATCATTCTTGAGCCCAGTGGTAACAACGTGTCTGAACAGGAAACTCTTATTTCAGGAAACGGGCTAGAGAACAAAGCAGAACAACCCCAATGCTAAGGGTGCTCATCTTTCCCTTTCCTCATCTACCTGTATTATACCGTAACACCATTACTGGAGTTTGACATCCATCTCTCTTTACAAAAAGCACTCATTTGACACCTCTGTACTTTCAAGGCAAGGACTGATGATAAAAGAAGCTTAATTAATGCATTGACTATTAGTCCAATGCGATACTGACCATATACGAAGAAACTAAAATTGTCCTACCGTACACTTTGTGCTCGTTGTAATGGGCAGGGTGAAATCCGAGGAGAATTCTAAGTCTGGAGTGGATGCAGTATTGCAGTCAATATGCTATCAAAAGGAATAATACAATTGTCAGTAACGGTGCTGAATTTAACTTAAGATCCTCCTTTGGTTGAAGGTCATTTGGTGGCTCCCATAAGACAACTTTTCTAGGGCCATACCAATTCAGCCCTCCAAAAATGGGAAGAGACTTAAAAACCACCTAATCCTATCTGCACACTGACAAAACACCAAAACCCCCTCTTCCCCACACGTCAAAATAAACAGACACTTTGACTAGTAGCGGTATGGAACTAGATATAGTAGCTCACTCTGTTCAAGCAAGTTGCTCTTGATGACAGCTGCCCATTGTTAAGATTAAGTAACTTTCACAGGCACCTGCACCTGTTTTACTCCTTGTTCACGTAGCCACATGGTAAACTACAGTATGAAACTGCTATGGGTTAAAACTGGGCTTTTTTGATTTGCCAGGTTAGTTTCATATTGATCATAGAATAGTTGAGGTTGAAAGGGACCTCCGGAGACCGCTTAGTCCAAACCCCTGCTCAAAGCAAGGTCAACTAGAGCAGGTTGCTCAGGACCATGACAGCAAAGGCAAAGGTGAAGACCTGCACCTTGGCTGGAATAACCCCATGAAACAGGGGGTTCCTGCTGGTCAGAAGTCAGCTCTGCTTGCTGCTCCCCACCCTGCCCTGACAAGGGGCCTGGTGAACAAGTTGAACATAAGTCAGCAGTGTCCCCTTGTAGCAAAAGTGGCCAACTGTCTACTGTGTCATATGTGCAAGAGGGCAGCAGCAGGTCAAGGAAAGTGATCTTTCCCCTCAATTTGACACTTGCAAAACTGCATCTGGAGTACTGCGTCCAGTTGTGGGCTCCCCAGTACAAGACAGGCATTGACATACCAGAGCAAGATGATGGAGGGCTGGAGCACGTGACATACAGGGAGAAGCTGAGAAAACTGGGTTTGTTCAGCCTTAAGAAGGGATGGTTAAGGGACGGGTTTCCAATATCTGCCTCTGTCTAGCAGAAGGGTGAAGAGAAGACAGAGCCAAGCTCTTCTCTTGTATCACAGGGACTGGATGACAGGCAACAGACACAAACCGGAACAACAGAAGTTACAATTTGGTATTTCAAAAGTAAGAGTGAGGCCAGTCAAACAAGACACGTTTTCCAGAGAAGTTCAGACAGAAGTGGCAATGTTCAGAACTTGACTAGCCAAGGCCTGAGCCTCCCATTGGAGCTGAGCCTGCTCTGACAGAGGACGACTGGACCAGATGCGCTCCCCACACTCCCCGGGGTCCCTTCCACCCCGTACTATTCCATGACAGTTTACATGGCATGCAACATCTTTGTAGTTCTCCTGGAAACAGCTTTTCTCAGTGAGTCTGCAGACTGTGTGCGTGTGTTTGTGTGCATGCTCTTAAAATGGATTTGGTTTTGAGAGGTGGTTTTCTTTTTGGTTGGTTGGTTTGCCTTCCCCTCCCCCCCCAACTGTAGAAAATATCACAGTACAGTAGTAATCACTTTCCAACTAGCATGAAAACCAGAGGTCAGTAGGTTTCTAAAGGAACAAAACACAGGGTAATAGACATTTACTATTCTCACAGAGAATCCCTTAAATATACCAACATACAGAGAACCTTACTAGAAAAAGGTTTTCCGCAAGTTAAGACTAAAATACCATATAATTATAAAATCTATTTGCCAAAGAAAGATACGTTACACGTCTCCTTTTTATGTGCTAGAATTGGTAAAAATTAACTAATGCATGACAAGCTTTTGTTTAAAAACATCACAGTTCCAACATGATCTAAAATATATATACATTTAGATGAATTGAGTAAAATTTGTTTAATTTTCAAGAACATAAAAAATTTTCTATAAAAATAAAATGTCTGTATTTCTATAGTTCTAATTTCTATGCTTCTATAAAATACTTTCTATAAAATTAATTTTCTATAACAGAAAATTAAATTATAGAAATATCATTATTTAAAATTCCCATATAGAAACAGAAAGTTAAACAACTATATCTACACACACACTTAGATAAACGCAGTAAAAGTTGTTTAAATCAGAACAGTTTCTTTAACTCAAAGCAGTGCAGCTACGAAAAGCTTCTCACATCCTCTTGGAACATGTCTCAACTCTAATGTTAGTTGTCTAAAAACTTGCAATTTTACCAGTAGCAACATTTAAAGCGTAAGCATGGAAAACGGACTGACAGCAGTCAATTGGAGCCTCTGCAGCAAGGTGGCACTGGCCCTATGCTAACATTAGGAGGAAGGTCTGGGAAACATCCTGCCTTAACTACAGCCCTGTTTTAATTACCCCTACCAGAGGAGCAAACAACTTGACCACACATCAAAATCTGCGTTAATTCTTCGGACAAAGAAGGACTTCAATAAAACGCATACTGAGTAACAGGTGATCATTAACTAGTAACAGCATTTTAATAACTTTTTACAGCAATATTTACCATACTTTTCTTGGAACTTTTCCTACCTAATGATGTCCATGGCCTGATAGACGATTTCAGATTGGTCGACTCCAATCACTTTCTTCGCGCCTGCTTTGGCGGCAAACATGGAGAGTATTCCAGTTCCACAGCCAACATCCAAAACCACCTGAAACGAGTAAGACATTTATTTTTATCTCCATTTATTTCCCTTGCTATGATTTTTTTTTTTTTTTTACACACATCTTTCTACATCAGTGAGATACCATATCCTAACAGAAGGAACAAACGGTAGCATCAAGTCTTACTATTACACTCAGAGATATCCAAGTCAAACTGCAGTTCTAACTCCACACCCTCTACCACCTTTTACAGACAGACAATGAAGCAGACTAGCTCCAGCTGCAGACGAACTCAGTCCCATGGGAAACAATCACAAGCAATTATTTGGGCAACAATTAAAAAGTTACTTGAGCAGGAGAAACAGGAAATTAGAGCCTGAACAATTTTAATCAGTGAATCACTAACAACTGAATTTAGCACTGCCACTGAAAAAACATATTCTAACCGCAGTTTCTCATTAAGAGTCTATTCAGAAACTTTATTTAGGAATCTTCTGCTAGAAATGGCCACAGTGCCTCTAAACAGCTATGGCTCAAGATGACTAAATTTCAAAATGGTAGCTGGCACAGTTTTAAGACCTGGAAATGTTTTCTGTCTAAAACTATTTATAATCAAAGTAGGGCCAAAAAATAATCCAGGAAGACGGGATCCCTAAGTTTTCATGAAAGAAAAATAAATTTCATCACTACACTTGAAAAAAGTAAGACTCATGCAAATGCTTGGTTTTGATATCTCACCTATTAGCTACTGTAGGAAGACTGAAAAGTTGAAAAATGCGAAGCGACTAAGAAAATAGTACCAAATATATAAATTAGTAGAGTGGAGCTGCCAGCAGTGTTGAACTTCATAAAGCAGAGATTTTACCAAGCAGCCTTATTCAGGCCTCAGTATCATAATAGTAGTATATTTCTTCTAACAGCTGGAAACTCCTCAACAGCTTAAAAACTAAAAACTGAATGTGTTAAAGTAGATTTTTAGGCTACGAGTTTCGTATTTGACATTTTCAAAGAAGCACAGATAATTGAGGTTGAAAGGGACCTCCAGAGATCGCTTAGTCCAAACCCCTGCTCAAAGCAAGGTCAACTAGAGCAGGTTGCTCAGGACCATGCCCAAACGGCTTTTGAATATCTCCAAGGATGGACGCTCCACAACCTCTCTGGGCAACCTGTGGCACTGTTCAATTGCCCTCACAGCAAAATAGTGTTTCCTGATCTCTAGAGGCAACTGCCTGGAGCTCGATCTGTGACCGCTGATTCCTGTCCTGCCTCTGAGCACCACTGAGAAGAGTCTGGCTCCACCTTCTTTACTCCCCGCACCACCAGGCATTTATACACACTGATAGAACCCCTCCTGAACCTTCTCTCCTCCAGACAAAACAACCCCAGCTCTTTCAGCCTCTCCCTATATCACAGATGCTCCAGTCCCTTCACCATCTGTGTGTCTTTCACTGGTCTCACTCCAGGACACTCATCTCACTCTTGCACTGGGGAGCCCAGGGCTGGGCACAGCACTCCACAAGTCATCTCCCTGGGGTACAAGAGAAGGCTCACCTCTCTTGACCTGCTGGTGACAGTCATCTTCCTAACGCAGGCCAGGAGGCTGGCTGGCTGCCTTTGCCACAAGGGTGTGTGCTGCTGGCTGATGGTCAACTTGGGTGTTGACCAGGACCTCCAAATTCTTTTCTGCAAAGCTGCTTTCCAGCCAGCAGGCCCCCAGCCTCTACTGGTGTGGAGGGTTATTCCTCCATCCCCAGCTGCAGGATTTTGCATCGCCCCGAGCCCTTTGCCCAGGACCCCCGTTGGCCCACTTCTCTAGCCTATGGAGGTCCTTCCGAATGGCAGCACAACCATGCGGTGTATCAGTATGTGAAATATCAGAGTGACACAACAGAGGAGAAAAAACACACAAAGCAGAGAACCACTTCACTACTTTGAAATTAACACAAAACAACGGCATCCAGGATAACAACAATAACATTATCAAATCAAATCGCAACTTGCATTTCAATATTCTAATTTTATATATCTATAATCAGAGTTTTTAAAGAGCAATAAGCTTCAGTTTTCAGTTGTTCATAAAAATTTCACCATTTTTTCACTGTATGAAGTTCTTTAGTTTACGTACTCAGTTAAAATGCTTTATCCAAGAACGTCTTATACTGCTGAAGTCAAATGCCATATACATTATTAATCAATATTTCTTGATGCTGCCTCATCTTTCTTTAGGGAATGTTTTGCTTCCTGAAAAGTTACGTTATAAACTACACAAAACAAGCAGCAGATAATCTGAGCAAACACACTAAAATATCTTCTGTAATAATCATATGATAAATGGGAACATTTTTAAACTTTCCCTCAAAAATATAATCCATTTGTTCTGTGGAATGGCTATTGATTAAAACAATTTACCTATAATGCCACTGTTGCTCAACTCATTAATTTTACTACTTTGTACTGTAACTCCAGCAAAGGAGCTCATGCATTGACTTCAGGTTATTTTAAAAACCGTGATTGCTACTGAGAACAAATGAGTATAAAACCATTAAGCGTTAACAGTTATGCGAAATGCCACATGATGACAGAATTTGCTAAGCACATACACCTGAGCTGGACAGTGACTGCTCATGACAGTATGTATTAGGAAGGGACGTGTACTATTACCAGTAAAGCATTTTGCTTCTAAAATGACAGCAGCTTGTAGACTGCATTGGGCACATTTACATACAGTTATTGTTATCCACGCTTTCCAGATGTTGTTTCAATTTGTTTGTTTGCCTAACAAACTGATAGAGCTCAACTTATCCATGCAGCTGTTAATTTAGAGCACGTTATATGTTCTTCATTTTCTGTACACCAAACTTTACCTATTTGCAAGAAGTATTCAACTGCACTTCCACTTGAATCAGCACATGCAAAATGTTATAAACAATGGCAGGTGAGAAAAATGCCTATGCCTCACTCATTGCGCAATCAAACCTGTCAGATGGCTAACAATTACAGCCTCAGATTCTTGGTCTCAGTAACTGGTTTGTGCACATTCATTCACTAGGGGTGGAATTTATCTTCCCTATAATGACAGGTCTACAAAGTATATTTCAACAACTGAGTTGATCACTCTACCCTCTCCTTACACTCAAGGAAAACAGACACTTGTAAGCCTCAAGTCACGCAACTTATTATAGGTGTCCTTAGGAGTTTTATTTCACTGACTCTACAGGGCGTCTATCCAACAAGCTCAGAGAATAAAGTGTAAGACACATCTGTAATAACATCATCATCTACAAATAAAGAATCCTGAAGTAAAAAATAAAAAAAAGTAGAGATGCACAAGAAGGCTAAAGTAGTTATTCAAGTTAAAGAAATATCAGTATCAGCACTTCTTACATTTGAATACCCGATTTAAAAAAACTTAATACTTTTAAATCTTCTCTGTAATAAAATTATAGACAAGAAAAGCTTAAACGATAACTTGCATCAGGATATACTTACAACAAAAACCTGTACTTCACCTGTTACTGCTTTTGTGGGCAGGATGACAACTGACCACAGCAAGTCATTTCTATGCTGGGAGAGACTGGAACTACCCTCAGTAATGGTGTCAAGTTCAGTGGTGAATTACGTAAACCCATTTTCTTCTATGTAAAAATAGGATAGGAATGCATTTAAGTATAATTTACCTCTTTACTAAACTGGCAATTCCCACTGAAGGCCAGTAACATTACTGCCTTGAGTGTTTTATGATAGAAAAGTAACTGTATGAACAATAATTAGAATACCATTGTGACAAAAAAAAAATCTTGGTTTGTAACAGTCCTTCCCTCAATTTGATCTGAACTGTTCAAATTGTAACTAATCACAAAGTTCGTCAGAATTTCAAACTAGTCAGTGTTCTGGAATTGTTTCTCGTCAGGTAGGTGTTCTCTCATATGAATCACTACCAACTTTGCTGCTATTCCCCATTGCAAAGCTGCCATAAAAAAAGACAACACAGAAAAGTACGCATAGAATTAATTCAATGAATACTGCAGAAACTACTGTTGCCTTTTCAGACATGGTCATTCTGTTGGATGTAGCTATGGGCGATAGTGAGTGATCCTCCAATGAAAGATCTTGAAAGCCAGCTAGCTTGACACAGAAATAGATACGAAGCCCCCGTGCAACTCAGTACACTGACTGAGGTGAAGGGGGAAGCAAAGTAGAAGAAAAGACTCTATTCCAGGGGTTTTTTTGGTATAGTTTGTATTTCAGTTATGTGACTTGTAACTTACTAAAATGCAAGTAAATTTGGGTTTGAATAGAAGAAAATGTAGAACAGAACAATCTAAATATGGGAAGATTACTTTATTAAGAGCTCAAACTTGGTAAAAAAAGCAATTAATACAAGTCTTGCAGTCTTGACACCAAGAACCTTAATGCATTTGTACCATTTTGAAGATGCCAAAGTTCACGTGTGCATGTGTGTGTATTTTTTTCCCCTCTCCTCCATAAAGAAAGGAAACTTCTAATCTGACTGCTAAAAATTTAAGACGTATGGTACCTTAATGACACTGGCTGTAGATATCAGTGTGTTTGGATCCAGCACCTCCACAACAGCTTCTGGAATTACAGCCGCCTTCATGCAAGACATGTCAAAGCCATATACATCTTCCCAGAAGAGTAGCTTGTCCACATGTTTATTCATATCCCCAACAGCTACAAGACTAATGGTGCAAACATCAGGGTAAACTGTAACAGAAACAGATTAGTGAAATTTTATTCTAGACATGCATAAAGAGGACTTTTATTTTTCTTTTCTCTTTTAGTGATTAACATCTTAAAAGAACAAATAAAACCTTTTTTCAGCTCTTGGACAAGACACTTTTTCTGCTACTTGATTTCCCATTTGTCCACAGAAGAGACCAGACGTTGGAACTTAATTTTCCCACGCTACTCTGGTAACAGTATTTCCTGTTCATGACAAGGTATCTTTGTAGTTGAATCCCACCGCCAGGAAATGACTGGAACCTTGATGTCTGAAGAAAGTAATTTGGAACATCCTATTCTGGCTTCTATACACAGACTGACCCAAAATGCATTTAATAACTGCAGACAGACACACAAAGGAAAATTCAAGTGAGGGCTTTGCAATAACACAAAACCTCTGCGAAAAGACCTTATTTCCAGAGAAGAGCAAATATTCTTACTCAAGAGTTTTATTCCTGTTTCTTACCAGCTCTGGCTGGTACTTGCCTCACAACCTGAAAAAATTACTTCTGGGTACTGGAAAAGGATAACTACTCTTCTATCTGCATCCGAAGAATATGGAAGTGACCCAACAGACAGAAGAGAACTTCCTCATTGATCCCCGCCACAGTTTTACGATGACAGCTATTATTCTTACACTACCTTCACATTTGTGCTTTCCCTTCTCCCAAGAATATCTTCAGAACAAGTACCTATGTACAGCTTTTCCAAATAGTAGTGGAAGACTGACATTTGCCTTTCTAATGGCTGCCTACAGCAAAGCCAGTCAATCTCTTGGCAATCTCTATCCGCTACTGATTGGAAAAGACACAAAGAACAGCTGCTATGACCATGGCTGTCTATAGCACTATCAAACAGCAAGAGAAGCTCAATTTATATTTAGCTAGGTTTATTTCCACAAAGAAATTGCCATATTTTGTTTTTAAAGCCTTTAAAGCCACATACGTTGAATTCTTGATCTGGCTTCAGAGCAAAATGCCTACTAATAAACACTTTTTTTTATTTTATTTTTTATTGATACATGAATGTGGCAGTGTTGTTAAAACCGAAGCTAAGTTTCTCTTCTCCTCCCCAAAATCTGGTGAACTGTAAAATTAATTTTGTCTTCAGCTCTGCTTGAAGTTGTAGCTTATCAAAATGACTATGGAGAAATCACTGGTATAGCATGGTAAGTCAGAACAGCAGTATTTTTTGCCTTGTAAAATACTGAAGATAGAAACAGCAAATTGACATTAGACCTTTTATATAGTGAGAGTAGATTTAGCCTAAAGGAAGTAATCTTATACATATTAATGGTAAAGAGTCTTCTTTAAAGCAGCTTTTTTTTTATATGCAGACGTTAAGCAAGCAACCATCTCTACATTTGGAATGACTAGTTTATACAAAATATGAACACACTCTTTTTTCTCACTTTCTGACCATTTAAAACGGAATAGATAAATATCAGCAAGCTTAAATTGGAATCCCACTGGTAAGCTATCATCACCCCTACTTTGCAGATGAGGAACTTGAAGAAGGTGGTTTCTCCAGGAACAGCCTACGATTAACTCAGCAGTAAAAAGGCAGTTTGATGAGAATCAAAAGAGGAGGGCATTCAAACTGTCTTGTCTGAAACAAATCATTTGGTTCCAGCACACCTGACAGCTGTCACACACACAGAAACATATCAACATCTGGTGGTAGGAGTATTTGCAAGTAGCTTCTGGAGCCATCAATAAAGGATTTCCATTTCTCGAATCTTTCATATTGCTGTTTACTAGTGACAACTGCATTATATTCGGCTTTACCTCCCAGCATTTCAAACCTTCAAGAGCCACCACTGATGCCCCAAAAATTGAAAGACAGTGTGAAACAGACGACAAATGCAAGTGACTACAGCCTTTGAGGGACTATTTTCAGGGAAATGCTCTTCATAGGATGCAAGGGGTACGGCGAGAAGAGGGGTGAAAAGAGACTGAAAGTCCCTAGTTATAGAACACTTACAGGAGCATGCTAGCAACACCGCAAATGAAAATGAAAACCACAGCAAAAAGTGATCAACTACTTTACAACCTTCCTTCCTTCCTTGGACTAGCCCACATTTCTGGGACATTCTGTTGACAGGAAAAAGTTTACCACGTCTATCAAGTGTGAAGTATTTGAGTGGGACCACAATCAGTTTTTATTAAATCTCTTCGTCCACACAGCAGATGCTTAAATCAGCAGTGGAACTCATACAAAGTGCTTAAGAACAAGCAAAAATGTAAACACTAATCCTCTAATCTAATCTGCATTTTTAGTTTAGCCTATCAATAGCAACAAAAAAGCAGACAATGCCTGTTCAGACTTCACAAAAAGAAGCCTGTGTTCCACCAACAGGGCACAGGCAAAAGACTACAGCGATACATTAACTTCCAAATTTACAAACCCACCCATGTCCAGAAGCATATGCTATACTGAAGTTTGACTAGTAATGTAAGCGTGTTATCTAAATATCAGCCTAAATCATCTAAACACTGTAGACTTCATGTTTAAAAGCATCTGCTTAAAACTGCATTTGCCATTTCACCCATTATCCTCGATACCCCTGGAAATCCTCTGCTCTTTCTGCAACCCTGTAACACTTCCCTGTGCAATCCTGACAGACTTGTCATTTTTTTCTGATTAAGCCTGTAATTTAATAATTATTCCTTCTCACAGGTGAAGTGAACAAAACGCTGATTGGACAAAAGCACATAGTCCCCAATGCTCTCACAGATTCATCGTTTCGACCATCTGTGTCCTTCTCGACTCAGTGCCCAGAAGTCATCTGTCACTAGTAACAGCTCACGTGGTGAACAGAATACGATGGGAAATCCTTTATCCCTTGGTAATGCCTCACAAACTTCAGGACGCTGAAGGGTAAGGCAGCAATCCTCCAGATATACAGAAATAATTCCAAGTGAATACCATCATCATTTTGACATGAACAAGCAAACAGCATTATGTTTTGAATGATGCCTTCCTTCCCCGTGCCACCCCTCACCAATGTGCACAGCACTCAAGTGTATGCAGAAAACCTATACTCAAGCAAGTAACAGCTCTAAAGAACAAACAGATGGGTCCTGGGCAGCGAGAATTTTATGTTCCCAAATAAAGCTATTATATACTGTACACATTACCCTAGACAGTTTGGCATAATCCACTGCAGCATGCCAATAGGCTAAATTGAAGTAACAACGATATGACTGACTGAACACAAATCTAGAAATTTGGATTCTATTCCCGGCTCAATCACTGAAAGATCTGGCCAAATCGCAGCTGCTTCTACCGCCTTTTTCAGCTTTCAAACAGTCCCTGTAATAATGATCTTGGGCTCGACAGTACAAAGTGGCTTGAGACAAAATTAAGCTTTATGGCAGATTCAGGAGTTTCTCCAGTAAGACTTCACCTCAGAACGAAGGTGTGAAGAGTCAAATAAGGGCCCAAGATCATTCTCAGACCACAAAGGATAAGTGTACTGCAGAACCAGCGTACCCTGTCTCCCAAAGGAAACTTTGGGAGGCACAAGCCACTAGCAAACTTACCAACAATACAAATAGAGAACAACATACCATCGCAGTTTCAATGGAGGTCAAAAATTTCTGGCCCTTTTCAGAAGGCTTTGGAAGTAGTAGCTAAACATAAAATGATTCCTTACAATTTTAGGGGATGTCCCCAAATTTAATTATACTGCAATGTAAAATTATCAGCGTATATCTATACAGAGCACACCGCAACTGTGTTCCAGATCTGACTGGACTATTCTACATAACTGAAAACAAGAAAGCTCTTATTCTGTCATGTTGTTCAAGTGACTTCTAAAAATTTCAAACACATGAACAGTAATCTCTTGCTTGCATATTCAGCTTTGTGACCAAATGTTGAACAATTGCATAAAAACCCTTCCCTTTTTTCTGCTGCACTCTGTAGCATACAAAAGCTCACTGCAATCAAAGGGAAGCACTGCAGCGAGCACTGTTACATAGTCATTAATCCAATCATTAAATCAGTGTAGTGAAACTAACTATGTGCATGGTTAGCACAAAAGGGGAAAAAAAACCCAGACTGATGACTACGACTGAAAAGGTCAATATGAAATACAACACTGACAAAGGAATTAAGCGCAAGGAATAAAGCATACGCAGAACTCGTGCAGCAAACTGCATCACATGAGGAATAAATATTTACAGGCATTTGAACACTGTTAAGATGACGCTATCTAAGCTACTTAAAAGGATAAAAGAACTCTACTTCAAAATAAAACCTTTTTGTTCTGTCACTTCCCTGCCCTCCAACCAGGAAGAAAAAGGGTATATTCCCACCAGGATAGAATAAATATGCTGAACTGAAACATTGTAAATCCATTAGTTATTTCATGCCGCCTCCTGCGTTTGGACCTGTGTCCTCCCCACCAACTTCCCTCCTCCAGGAAAACATCCTATCGACTTCTCTAATTCATCGTAGCTTCCTCAAACAGTATTACATCTTACAGAATAAAACTTGTTTTCCTCTGTTCATAGTTATGCAGAAACTGGGATTTCCAGAGGGGAAAACAAATGCCCACATCTGTGGGAAGAAGTAGGGAGGAAAAATTTAGACTGTACTTAAGAATAAATAAGCCCCTCTATTCTTAAAAACACCATTAACTTGAGACCTTGATACCCCATCTAATGTTCTTCTATTACCCATACAGTAAATTAATGCCTTGAAGCTCACACTAATGGAAACATTTTTCATTTAGACTGGCAACTTTCTCATCCATGCATAGCTTATTCTAAGTCTCCGAGTTCATTTAGTTTCCCCCCCAGAGCTAAATTTATTAGTAGAATTATGCATACCAACCTGAGCCTCCCTCTGCCAGGTACTTGTCCTTTGCATAGATGACAGAATCCAGCATTGACTCAAAGAGAAGGAAATAACCCTGTTTATAGAAAAGGGAAAGAATTTAGAAGTCATTATGCTTCTTATGCAGCCTATTTAATCAATCTACAGATAAGACTTTATCAACACCATTTAAGAACTTTATATGCCCATACACCTCAGTAAGAGTCAGCACCCAGTGAACCTCTCAACAATAGCATTGTCACTTCAAAATTTTAGTTACATAAAGTATCACCTTTAATTTCCCAAACTGCAAGTATCTAGCACCTAATAAATTAATACACTATAGGCAAAAAATACCCAATCTATACCAACAATTACCTGATATGAGTCCTAAAACATCAGAAGTAGTCAAATTCAACTCAAACCAAGTGAAAAGCAGTATATATTGATTTTATAGTAATAACTCTGAGGCGCCATACAAAAAAACCCCCAAGAAAATCCCTTCCCACTTAGAACTCCAAGTAACACTAAATTTATTGTCAGAGAAACACCAAGTAGAATGCATCTTTGCTACTTCACAGTCACAACTTTGTGGTGCCCTGTACCAGCTTGGGCAATGCTCATAAAGACAGGTGGAAATAAATCATATACCAAAGACTGGATGGTTCTCTGGATGTTCTACATCATTTAGCAGCACCTGAACTTAAATATTCTCAGGATAAAAATAGTTGGAACTAGATTTGCATAGGTATTTTTGGTGTTGGGATTAATTTTATAGCAGGTTAATCATACTGCTATAGTTGTTTAGAATAACTTACTGTAAACTTAATCAAGTCAGACCTTTTTTGAAATGGAAAAACTCCTTTTCTTAATTAAACATTTCTGAAATGTAGAAGACATATAGCAGTATTACATACAATTACCATTTTATATATAACATCCGGTTTCTCAACTACTTTTAAGTAAAATGCAAATTTCTAAGAGATATATAGCCCTTTGTCTTCCAATTGATTTACTGATTTTACACCCTTCCTATCTTCCAGGTTTGAGTATGATCCTTATTCCCGCTGAATACTCTAACACTGTTTCATCCACATCCTTACGACATCAAATCAATTAGGACAAGTCATACCAGCATATATTTTGGATTTTCACTTAGCATCCTAATTCTCATTTTGCTTAAAACACAGCTTAGCCCTATGGCTCGATTTATACACTGACTGCCGGTAGGAAAGAACAAAAAAAAGACAACTGGAAGTCCAGACTTTGGACCTGCAGTCCTACAAGTGCAGTCAGCAGTAACCAAACAAAGCAAAGCTAAAAAGATTTTTTTCGTCATCTTTCCTACACTTCCATATTTGTACAATCATAGGGATTTTATTAATTTATTTTTTTTAAGTCATCATGCCACACAACTGAAGACAGACAGCACTGCATAGGAATTGCACTGCTAAGATACCAAGTTTACTTCAAGTTTATGCCATCTTGGATGTTTATTTTGCCTAAGGCTCTTAGAACAAGAAAATGCTGCAAGTTCAGAACTGCTTATAAACGTCACCATCCACACTGCAGCCTTCAGAACTAAAAACAAAACTGGAACACCAGAAACTTGAAGCACAACGTATTTGTATTCAACAAGAGCACAGTTTGGAAATAATGGAAACGCCCTTTACTCAACCTGTTTCTTCTAGTAACAGGACAGCACTCTACCGGACACTTTTCTTCCAAATGTTGCCTGTTCTTCCACTTTACTGCCTAACTTACGAAGTCCCAGAATGAAGACTACTGCTTTGTGAGCAATATGATTTTTAGTAACCTTTGCAAAACGGTTGAAAAGGCCAGGAGCTCCAATTGCATCAGGCAGAGATGATTTTATGCCTACATCAAGGCAAAAGCACAGAATGGAACCAGAGTTTTCTTTTTTTATTCTTATTCTTGCAGTTTTAAAAATAGAACGTTTAGTTCATAAAAATTCCTTTCAGATGCTGTTAACTGAAAATGAGTTGTTTCCACATTATTTTAAAAGTGACCTCTAGGACATATCTTAAGGCTAGTTACCAGCAAAAGTCAGTAAGTTACAAAGTGACATTTTTACGGATCAGCTCTTCACTTATTTCTTCCTGCCTAAAACACCCATCACCTACAATGTCTGCCAAACAAGTGCAAGAAGTACAGCTGGAAGACACACCTTCTCATGAGAAATACAGTGAAATTCTCACCGCCCTTTCCCCAACCTTTCCACTCTGGCACCGTTGGTTGTCCCGCGGCACCCAGTTCTATCTTCCCCCCCAATTCATTATAGCATTCCTGTAAGTTACATAAACCGTCAATGGTACTGAATCAAGTCATTTATTACTTATACCAAAGCGTTTTGCTCACTGTGCTGTGCTCATCTGTAGTGTAATTTAGAATGTAATTTCACAGGCTGCTGCCTCACCTGTAGGGGTGCCATCTGGAAAGAGAATTATACCTGACGTCTTTTCCCCGTGATGCTGTGGGGCACTCTTGCTTCCACCCCAATAATGCTCAGGGTTTTGTTTTTTTCTTAAGCGTGTATTAGCATCCTCAAAATTAATTACCGCAAAGAGACCTCTAGGATACAAATCTGTGAGCCAAATAGTAATGATTTTATCTTGCTAGCGGCTAAACTAAGACACATAAAAGGTGACAGGTTCTCTGTTAAAGACAAACTGAATACACAGCACATCTTAAATATTATGCTGTCATATTATGCATTTTCTACTAAAAAGCTGGCCATTTCTTTCCCAAAATGAACATGAAGTTCCTTATTTTTATATTTTCAAAGCTGAAACGAAATGGTTGTTCTCCAGCTAACAACAAAACACATATGAACAGATTTGGACAGGAACAGAAATACACGGCACTATGGAGTTACTCCGTTCAAGCACACATCTGTCCTACGTCACGTCCGTCCAAGAAGCCAGCTATCAAAAATGGATGAGTCCACTGACAAATCTGAATCCAGAGGAATGTGAATATTGCTACATTTCTTATATATCCTTTATATCTGTATTTTGTGTTTGTAACAGAATTATAAAAGACTCACAAAACTTTGATGGCTTAATATCCTGCATTGTGAAATTTTCCTCTATTATTCAAATGCACTAGGGCACTCTAATACTTATTTTCATTTTAATTCAAAGCTACATAAAAATACTTTACCAATCGATCAAAATGGAAGTATAGGGAGTTCTCTTAACATTAGGGCTTCAGTATTCATCATTATATTCTTCATGGAGAAAAAGAAATTAAGCTATTTAAAAGCATCAAGACACAAGAACAACACTGAATTCTAAAGTATACCTCGCTGTGTGGAGAATACGGAAGAAAAATTACTTCAGATTAAAAATGCCTCTTCATGTACATTTCCCTTAGCCGTTCCTATCAAATACCTTAACGGAACTTGGTTTTGCCTTCACTTGTTTTCTACTTATTGGTGAAAGCCATATATATTTCAAAAAGTGGTATTAGCATGTTTACAATAGCAAGAATTAGCAGAATTCTTAGTACAGCAGAAAAAACATGTTAAGGATAGACTGGAGAAGAAATATTCAACTACTTGAGTAAGCGTCGCGTTTTCCCCCCGCCTTCTATCAAAGATCCATTTTCTTATTTTCTGTAACATAACTGAACCTGGTCTGGTACTCCAGATTCAGTAAGGCCCAACACTGAATATTTAATTTAACACTGGCCCAGAGTGTGGACTTTTTTGTTTTTAATCCCTATCAGTATAAAAAAGTGCAGTATTTTCTGAAACTGAAGTTTCTGACTACAAGGTTTCCATTGGACTACAGAGTAAAACAAGTTACAGAGGGTATGTAAAACAGATTGGACAACAGATTCCGATTTAAAACATAAAATGTAATCTTGCATTAACAGATGCACAAAACTGATGTGGCCCACTCAATTTTGTGAAAAATTACTTTTTATTTGACAAAATCCCCCCAAAACCTGTGGTGCATTTAAATGAGAAGCAGCAGGTACATGTAAGCTCTTCTGCATGCTCTGCTGCAGCACCGTTCCCTCACGCTAAGTCAGCCTTCATGCTGATCTCTCACGTATGATTTAATTTTTTAAAAAAGGAAATAATTCATTACTGACAGAGCAAGCCCACACATTTCAAAACCACAGCTTGACTTTGTTAATTCTGCACACTCTGTTGTGTCCTTTAACAAATGTAAGATGAGTGAGAACACCAAATGGGAAGATCTGAAGAGCAGAGAAGTGATGCCCATTATTGGTGGCGGGGGGAAAAAAAAGTTTTCATGCAAGGAAATACAATTACTTTATAAAAATCATTTTGCTGTAAAGAAATTAAAGCATTCTGCTACTCAGTATGCTCTTTACACAGCATTATTAAGAACACAAAAAATAAAAGCCCAATTCTTTCATAAAATTATAAATTATTACTGTGTTATAGAAATAGAACACTTGTATTAATGCACCTCCAAATACTAACAGAAACAGTAGGGAATACTAAGACTACAGAAAGACTAGTAAGTATTAAAAAAGCTCCATCACTGTATATCCATCATAGAAATAGGGGAAAGGAGGAAGAGAGAAAAGGTGGTTTCCAGTGTTTCAGACATGCTCACTTCCTAGTCCTTTTTCCTAGATCCTCCCATTCACAGCCCATCCTGGTATCACTTCAAAATTGTCTAACACAAAAAAAAAAAAGGAAAAAAAGATATTAGCTACCTGAGCAATGAGACGATTAAGAGACAAGAGGACTGGATTCTATCCGTGGTTTATTTTGAGAGTCCATCTCTTTCCCAGTTTTTCCTTGTGTAAAACTCTATTGCATATTCAGTATCGTAAAGCACTGCATAAAACAGCAATTTATGAGAACACACTGTACTCTAACAGTGTATTTGAGACAACCATCTCTAACAATTGTCTCTCACAGTAATGCCCCTTACAAACAAGAAATGCAGATATTTTTCAAGTGAATAAAACTCTCAACCTCTAGTTTTATAGTCTTAGCTAGAGAAAGGAAGTAAAAGCATACCGAGAGAAAAAAATCTGCACACAGATGCAGCTGGGCAAGAACATTCCAGAAAAACATTACATACATTTTCTTTCCTTCTGCACTCATCCTTTCAATAAGCAGCCTGTGAAATTTACAATTACACTACCAAAATCCGTGTGCAATAACACAGCCACCTTTGTATGTGTATAGCAAATCTTTTCCTGCCCAGCATTCAATTTAACCAAAAACTATAGCTTCAGCACTTCGCATAGCAGCTGTCATTTCAAACTTACATACTGTATGGAAAATTACTCTAATTACAGTAAAACATCATTGTTTCTTAAAATTCAGTATCTCTGGGGAGAGGACATAAGTGTGATCCTGACTGAGAGCAAGTCTATGGTGTATACAACTCATAGGTACTTTCCCACCACCCATACAAACAGCATCACATTCAACTCAAAATTCTAAAATCCGATGAAATTTGAGCATTTGCAAACCATTTTCAGGTCAAGTCACTAACTGACAAGGGTTTTCACTCTCTACACCAAATCACTAATGTGTGTTCAGAAATGCATTTGCATCAGATTGCCACTAGGCAGTGTATACAAATACTTGATTATTTGTACCTTTGCCTAGAAACCTAATTCACATAAGTCTACAGTTTGAATAAGAAAGATTTGCTTGTAGGTGTCCTTCAGTACAAGCAGACAAGTAAAAAAAGTTAGAGGCTGGTACCTGTAACCACTAACAATAATTCATAGTTTCACAAATTATGGCGCTCAAGAAGTTTCACACATCAGAGCTCCAGGCAAGCAAGCAGGATGGTGCATCAGAAAATTACAGCCCTGCTATAGAGTATCAACCAATCCTGGACAGGGAAACCTCTACAAAAACAAGGCTAGCAGTGAGGTCTTATATAAAATTCACCCACTCTTACATTCAAATAACCTTTCTCCAAGAACTGGAAAACTTTCTCCTTATAGAATCAGTTTGGTTAGCAGAACAGGCTATTACTTGGCCATTCTTGTGTTCTTTCCTAAGGCAACGTGGTTTATTGCGTGAAGCGGCTCTTCGGTCCACCTGCTCTCCCTTGTGCTCCTGGTTCACAGCACACGAGAAGTCCTTGGGCCAGGCTGCATACTTCACCAATGTTTTGCTAAAAGGAATGCATAGCTGTCTTCAGAGTAAAAAAAAGTCTAAATAGATGGCTTTATCTGGGTCTTCAGTAGCCCAACTGAAGTTGGAGTTGAAGTCCTCAATCTTCAGCAACCTGCCTTGTGGACCCCAACAGAACAGCTCACAGCTCATCACACCTTCCGCTGCCTCTCTCATTGGTTTGCATACTGGTTTTAGTCAGACACAATCACACAGGTGCCCTGCCTGTGGTCTGATTTTAACAGTGTCAAACACACACACTTCAGATGTCACAAACAATGCATTTAGTCTTTACATTAAAAGCAAGATCACTGCTAATTTCTTTCATAAGCTTAAATAAAGCCACTGAAGAGACAGTTGCTTATCATTCGGCCTCTAAACCTGGAACATGACAATGCTGTATCCAGATGAATTTAAAACTGAAAAATATTACCTTGGAAGATAGCAAATATAGATTTGAAATATAATTTGGCTATATATATACACACACACATATACACATCCACACACCCCTACGCACTGTGTAATATTTAAGATGCTTCTCCCATTTTTGCATATTTTAAGGGAACAAATTTAAAGATGAAAGAGAAGTAGGAATAGCAAGCAGTTTGTGGAAGCCATAGGTCACTTACACAGTTGAGAGAATGATCATCAGAAGCCATTACGTTGGAGATGCTCATAATTCAACCACTGTACCTTTTACAACAGACTGTTCTATGTGCCATCTTTCTCAGCCTGTTCTAGAAACATTCCTGGGGCATGCAGTATTTTTCCTCTCTGTTGCCTCCATTCTGTCGCTTCACACTTGTTTTTAATTTTCTGATGCTCCAGACACAGCTCTAAAAAAGCTTATAGTGTACTGGTCTTAAGCACTGTTCTGTACCAAGCAAACAGAACAAAGCTATGGCTCTGCAAAAGGGTTTGATGTTTACTAGTCTAAAAGCAGTTTGCTTTCTAAACAGAACAGCAATTTTTCATATTTTTGTCACAAAGAAAAGCCACTGTTCCCATTAGAATTTTCCTGCTAGTCCATACAGATTCTCTAAGTAAAGAGCTGAAAACTGACATCTACTACATTCCTTTTTGCTCTCACACTTCACATTTCCAACATTTTCAAGCACTTCATTCACGTATTAACAAAAGATTTCACATTGGTCAGTATCATGTAGGGAAGGAAAAGAAACAGCAAATTCACACCAGAAAGCCAGACAAAGAGGAATCTTCATTTGCATCTAGGCAACATAATGTTCCTTTCTGGACAGTGTTGGAGCAGTGCATACACTGTCCAGCTATCAATCTTACTTCCACGGCATTGTTCTCTTTATCTCTGTATTGCAGCAACCTGTAAAAATGCTAACATTCCTAAATATTTAGACTACCTAATTAAGTGAAACGCACATGGCTATATAATTATGACATTAAAAGGTAAATTAGCACACAAATGGGAAACGTGGAACATTGAATACTTCATTTCCTACAAGAGCTGCTTTTTGAAACCCTGTACTTTACCTTAGAGGCACTGGTTTTACAACGTGACTTAAGCTCTTTAGTGCCCAAGTTGCTTTTAAAAACAAATCTTGGGCTCCAGAATGAGAAATGTGATTTTGGGAACATTATTCTCAGTGCACATATTAGGCAACTGATCACAAGTTTCCCTGAAAGAACTGTAATTACCTTTCTATGAAGTCACTATACTGTCAGAAATCACCAACCACAACGCACTATTTTTAAACCACTAGTTTAAGCCAATGGCTTAAACCTTCCTTGAAACTAGTGACCTCAACAATACATTAAGCTCATGCTTCAAATAACGTTCATTACAGCAGTGGAGGAAAAACTTTTGCAGATTTCCAGCACATTGAAATATGTAATATAAAAAAAACACAGAAAAAACAAAGCAAAGTTTATTTCCACCTTTACCTGGAAACTACTTAGATACATACGGATCCATAGTGAACATGTGACCTCTCTCCCAAAGGCCCTTGGTATGGTAGAACAGCCAGTTTGTTTAAAAAAAACAAAAACCCACACCAACAAAAAAACCCCCTCTGAATATAAGTTTTCATTATTGGTCTTAAATTTGAAGGACAAAAGAATTTTTCTTTAAGTCCAAACAGTGGGAACGAGCATGAAAAAAACCTGCATTTTGAAGTGCTTTTTGAAGGTCTGCAATATGAGGAGACTGAATAGCAGAAGTCCACAAAAAGTCACAAGGGGTGTTTCCTATCACATTTTTGATAGCGAACAGACTTACTCAGTCGCTATGAAGTCCAGCCCAGCACCGGGTCTTGTCACACGGATTTCTTTATTAGGACCAATGGCAGGTAGCAAGCACAACTGCGTAACCGTCATCAGCCAGCACAAGAAAGAAAGGTAACGGGCCAGCGGCTGAAATCCAGTGGGTTCCAGGAAATGGCTCATTTAGACGCTGCCTACTGCATTTCCTCTTGGCCATCATCTTTATCACGTACTTTTATCATCAGTTATTTTATCCTTATACTAAAAAAACGCCACGAATAGTAACGCTGTTTTCAAGCTCCCTATACATTTGCAGATTTCCCAGTGTGTATGCTCCTCACCTCCTTATCACCTTTCCCGCACAGTCAGCAGTCTTTAGCTGCCTTTGCGGACTGAAAGCATTTTACTCATCAGAATAATCTAGCTAGATGACTAATACAATATTTCTCCATTACTTTCACCTGAGCAGCTACAACAGCGTTATTCAGGAATAGAGAGTACTTCTGCAGATTTGCACACTAACTACGTAACAGAAACTTACTGCTGTACCCAAAACAGCTCAACTGTACTTAGAGAACCTTGCCTTGAAAGAGCATGAACGAGAGGGATCAGGAGTTGTATCCGAGTACCACATAATCAGAAACATCATCCCATCTCCCACATTGGCAAAGACACTGTTGCAAGCATGATAAATTTTTGGTTAAAAAACCCATAGCATTGCCTAAAGAATAATTTTTCAAATGAAGTAAAACAACACATTTTTTCCTGAAAATAACTATGTCTTGAAAAGAATATTCATGCACCTTACCATCCATTCAGATATAATTACATCCACTTTTTCCACAGGCAGATCTACTTCTTCGATTCTTCCTTTGACTAATATAATGATATTGTCAAGTTTATTTAATCTGCAAGTCACAACATAAACAAATTAGTTTGTATTTCCAACTTATGCTGTCAAGAGAGATATACCAATGTCTACATTTTGCATTTCTCCCTCCAATAACAATTGTGGTTTTCTTTTTAACTAACCAAAAAGGCACTAAAATGTAATACTCCTCAGTTATATTTCAGAGGGAAGGCTTCCGAGTATCCAAAAACTGCAGCAGATTAAGTGTGAGGCAAAGATGGCAGACAGTAGGTCTGTATACTTCCAATGTGCTGTGCATGCAAATGTGTAAGCTTCAGAAATGAGGAAAATAGAGAAAGGACAATTTAAAATGGCGCTCCTCTTTACTTAGAGTTGCTTGTTCCCAGTTCTCCTTCCTCGACCCCTGTAGCATAAGTCTATAGCGATTAGAGCCTACTCATCACACTAGGATAGCAATGGAAAGGAAATTAACTTCCTCACAAAGCTGTTTTGCACGACTTGGTTTTTTATTAACAAAACTAGCTGCAAAGTCACCGAGAACAAATATTCCCTCTAGATCAGTATTACAGTTATTCCACAATGAAGGCATCCTCCCCACGGTGATTTTGGCCAAAATCATCTGCAATGTTTAGTCACTGCAACAATCAGGTATTACCTCATATGCAAGTAATGGTACAACCATCCTGTATAAGGAGGAAGGTACTGTGACATGACTACAGTTTCTGAAACAAAAACTGCATGACAGTGAAATTACTAAACACGTCAATGCTTGAAATTTAGTATTTTTCTTCTTGGCAAACCAAACCATATTAGTCTTTCTTGTACATATCATTATTACGATACCTATTGTTATAGAGGGCAGAAATGTATTCCCACCAAAGAAATTTATCTTTCCACTGCAGTTCTCGTCTCTGCCCCTTCCTTCCCTATCCCGATATCTGACTCTTATGTTCTGTCTGGCTTTCAATGCAGAGTAGTAATCACATTAAAAATTCAATCTCAAAGACAATGGGAGAATGATCAGAATGAAGGGAGGGAAAAGAAAGGGTCAAAGGGCTACTTGAACATGTGGGCTGTTGGAAAGATCAATTAAATACTCTACACACGTCAGTCTTCCGCTAGAAGAGTAGCAGTTCATCACTAATATCATACTTAATGCTGTAAACAGAAGTAAAACCAGAAGTTCAAAGTGAGAAATAAAATGCTAAAGAGCTATCACCCACAACGATATTTTAAGAAGGACAAAGATAAAGATCTTACAGATCTAAAGATAAAACACATCTTTGTATGCGGTCATTTAGGAAGTTAAAACAAAAGAGAGGAAAAAGACTAATTCATTACATACTTGTTTTCAATTGTAAGGTATAAAAACCCCAAACCAACCAATGTGGTTTACACATTGTAGGAAAAACTGCTGAGATGCTATTTAGGAAGTATACTTCAACTTTCTCTTCTAGCATAACAGTGATGAACGACAAAAATCAAGTCGTTCACTGCACTAGAAATTTTATGTGCAGCTATTCACAGTAAGAAGAAGAGAAGGCAAGCATTTAGTTAAAAATAAGATTACTCTGTAAGCTTGGGAAAGAATCATGCCACTCAGGCCACTTAGTCCAGTTTACTCACACACATGGGTTGCACTTTTTCTAGTAATTAGCATGCTAGAAATGAACCTGAATTCTGAGAGGGATAAAAGCTCTTGAGCACATACTTGAATCACAGGTGGAAGCACACTGCAGTAGTCATTTTTAAGCTACACAGAGTTGTTTAGTATTCCAGTAAGTGTTTGTTACTCCATTACAAGTTTGTCAGCTTTATTCCTTTAGGAAAGTAACAAACATAAATTGTTTTGATGTGAACTGCAGACTTTAATGTGAATCGAACCTTTTATAGCAGAAGGTATCTATAAATGTGTAGCCCTACTGATGGTTCACTGTGTACTTCCAGTGGCAATTCATTACTCTTAAACTCTTAAGAGTTTTGATTTGTTGTTTTTCTTAAAGGGCTGCCCTTCTCCTCACCAAAGGTAATATGTGATGGCTGATACTTCCATCCTCCTCTAAGTATACGTAACACATAAAGGATTTTTTGTGCACTTGTTGAAAGATATGAACAATCCTAAGTTTGTCATCTAGTACATTAGAAATAAAACACTATTTCACATTTGTAACCATTCTGAAGATGTCAAGGATTCCTGGGAAAAGTTCTCTTTAGAGAATGAGTTCTTGAGCCAAAAAAGCATTTTAGTCAAAGTTGCACCTAATGCTTAACATGGTATTTTTCTTAAACAAGCGTTTATTTAATAGAATAATTTTACAGCATCCAAGTGTGCAGTGTTGCATCTCCAATGTGTGAGGTGGTATCTAGCCTAAAAATTCTGCCTAGACAACCTTATTTGTGTATGACTTAAGCTTACATAAAAACTGTCATTCCCAAATTCCTCAGTATCTACCTGGGCTTTCTCTTCCTCAGTTGCTCTTACAAAACCAACAAAATGAAAAAACCTACACACCTCAGCTATCAACAGTACACATATACCCATACACTTCTCCTACCTCATGCTAGGAAATCCTTTTTAAGTCTTCAGAGGCCATTGCTTCATTTTTACATATACTCACAGTCTCCCTTAACATCCTCTATAGGTAAATTAGTGAAATGTGGGATGGATAAATGAACCATCAGATGGGTGGAAAGCTGTCTAGACCATGAAGTTCAAGAGGTGAGAGAAGGAATACGAAGTCTAACTGGTAGCCGGGTACCAGAGGTGTCCCTCAGGGTTCAATGCTAGTTCTGATGCTAATTAACACTTTTATTAGTGACCTAATGGGGCAGAATGCACCCTCAGCAAGTCTGTGGATAATGCTGAATTAGGGGGCAGCAGTTCATATGCTAGAGGGTAGGGCTGCTATTTAGAGGGATCTCAGACTGTAGATAATCATAGAATCACAGGACAGTTTGGGTTGGAAGGGACCTCTAAAGGTTATCTAGTCCAACCCCCCTGCTGTGGGCAGGGACATCTTCAACTAGATCAGGTTGCTCAGAGCCCCATCCAACCTGACCT